TACCACCAAATAATAATAAACTCCTACCTAAGAGCTATTGCATGTACCAAGCCTTAATTCAATTCAATTATTTCTCTTTCTCAGTTTTACTAAATGAAAATTATTTTACTTATAGCCTATAGTATGTACTTTTGATATAAATTTAATTGTAAGTTAAATGCATTAAATTCTTGATATAGATAATATAAGAGATGTTTTTTTCATAGTATATAATTTAAAACTACCTAATCTCAGATAAGGATAATAATATTATTTAACAATGCTAACTCTCTGATTTTCATTATTTATTTTAGCCAAACCCGCTGCTTCAGGCAGTGGCGGCGGAGATAAGAAACCATCAGGTAGTGAAAAAAAGCCTGCAGCTGCTTCATCTGAAAAGAAACCAGAAAAGAAGCAACCTGCACCAGCTCCTTTACTTGATACCAAAAAACCAACTGAAAAGAAATCTGCAGACAAGAAACCTGCAGCTGATAAAAAACCAGCTCCCGAAAAGAAATCTGCTCCTGAAAAAAAACCAGCTCCTGAAAAGAAATCCGCTCCTGAAAAAAAACCAGCTCCTGAAAAAAAACCGGCCGACAAAAAATCTGCACCAGCTGCTGCTGACAAAAAACCTGCAGACAAGAAGAAGGATGAATCTAAATCAAAGGCAGAATCTTCCAAGAAAGCTGATCAATCTAAACAGGGTAAGAGTGCTGAAAAAGGTACCAAACGACCATCTACTGAAACTGAAAAGCCTGGACCTGCTCCTAAGAAATCTACAGCTAACAAAGGAGCTGATAGCAAATCTAAAAAAGAGCCAGAAAAGGCCAAAAAAGAAGCTACCAAGAAGAAGGCTGCTGATRCACCTAAATCTGCCCCAGCAGCTAAAAAAGCAGCAACTGATCCAGCTGCTCCTAAAGCACCTAAAAAAACTGTAGCTAAAAAGGACAAGCCCAAGTCAGCAGCCAAACCTAAAACAGGAGATAAGAAAGAAACCAAAGCTGCTGATAAGACCAAGAAACCACTTAAAGGTAAATCAGCCGCAGCTAAGAAAATGATCAAGGGTGCTGCAGCTGCTGCTGCTGCTAAGCTCAGGAAAGAAAAGAAAGCTGATTTGGCCAAAGGTGTTAAAGTTGGATCAAAACGTGATGCTGTAAAGAAAGCACTGAAGTCCAAAATTAGGGTAAATGAAAATTATATATATCATAACTAGGTATTATTTTAARAGGATGCTATAACCGCATGTATTGTCTATGTCTTACAAACGTACAACATAGCAAAAACTATTTTMYGTGGAATAGAACCATTCAGGTTGTAGTCATAACTAAAAAACGAAATTTACATGGTGTAAAAAGGAGAATTGTGCAACATTGTTTTTATTTTTTCAATATCACAAATACCAAAAATAAATTGTTGTGTTTAAAAAATCATTATTTCAAACTTGAATGACCATGTTTTTGTGATATTTATAATAAAAACAATGATGCACAGTAAATGTTCTTTTTGCCGTGTGAAAATTTTGTTTCTTAGTTATGAYTACAGYTTGAGTGAGTAGTTCCATCCCGCATAAAAWAGTTTTTGTTATGTTGTACATTTGTAAGACGGACAACACACGCAGGTATATTGTCCTCTTAACTGGAGACTTTAATTTCATTGCAGTATTAGTTTTCTTTCTTATTCCATACTYATACTACCCAAACTGATTATCAATAAAATTCTATTTTTAATCCTTATTTTATTTTTAGACTTTAAAAGGACCTCATGGGACTAGAATTCGCAAGATCAGGTATTCCGTCCACTTTCGTCGTCCAAAGACTTTCCAGCCACCGAGGAACCCAAAATACCCAAGGAAATCTGTTCCCAAGAGAAATAGGTATATTAAATTAACTTTTTTTGTTTTAAAATTGAAGTTATTTGTTGAATGTTATCTTTATATACATATGATTCAAAAATTAGGATGGATGCTTTCAATATAATCAAATTCCCCTTGACAACTGAATCTGCAATGAAAAAAATTGAAGACAATAACACTTTAGTCTTTATTGTTCATTTGCGTGCTAATAAGCACCATGTAAAAGCTGCAGTTAAAAAGATGTACGATATCAATGTGGCCAAAGTCAACACTTTGATCAGGTAATTCACAAAATATTCATGTTTTTWATTTATTATACCTTTAGAAGTTGTGTGATGATTTAATGAGAATCTCTCAGAAAATTCTATTTAATCTTATGATTGATACAACTATAAACTGATAATTTTTAAATATATTTTTTTACTAACCTATATAATATTTTTATCTTAAGAAATACATGTTTTATATTTACAATGTACATGATGACTTATTGAGAATCTCTCAGATATTAAAATTTAAATGATTGACATATTTCTGTCTGATATAAAAATATTAATTAGTTGTTATAAAAAAACATAATCGTATAAATAAAATGATGATAGAATATATACATAATTTAAAAAAAAAAAA